AAAGAATACTCATATATTACATAGTCATAGAAATCAAATTGTTGGCAAATGCCAAAGATATCTGATTTCCAGAATGAAAGTTGTTATTTATTTCCATGCTACCAAAGGGTTCATTTATAATGATAATAGAGGATGAACTTTTTAGAGGATAAATATAGTACTTTGGTAGAGATTTGGGACCTATTTTTTCCTCATATTTATTTTATTGATTTTTATTTACTTACTTGATATTTACTGAACATTGGCAGTACTTATCTGATTTTCATTTTCATTTCAAAGCATTTGTTTTTGCTGCCAGTAATTCTCTGCAGTTTATCCTACAGCAAAGCAATTGCAAATTCTTCATTCTTCTCCTTTGCAGACATTTAAAGAGCAACAGACACATAGTATTTTACTCAGTGTGTTTATGTATTTGGATGGAGAGAAAATGTAAATGTGCCTTAAAGAATTACTCCCTGCCAAATTAAACCTGCCTCTKTGTCTTGTGTTTTCTGTTTTAGGTCAGATGTACCAACAGTACCAGCAGCAAGCCGGCTACGGTGCCCAACAGCCTCAGGCTCCACCTCAGCCACCCCAGCAGTATGGTATTCAGTATTCAGGTGAGCAGGTGTTGAAAGGGAGTTGTTGGCTTATAGTTTTTGGTCTGTTTCTGTACTCATGAAATTTTTAAGCTCTTCCTTGGATATACTTGATTTGTAATATTTACATTGTTATAGTAAGAATTAAGTATTAGGGGAAATATTTGTTTTATTTTAAAATGTGTACATAAATGTTTTGTAAGACAATATTTCAGTTTTTCAGTGGGTCCAATAAGACTTAGCAGATGATTCTATAGTTAACTTGTAGTATAGAAAAGCTTTTAATACAAAATATTTCTAACATGATCAGTTTCTCTTTTACTTAGATGATATAGAACTGAAAAAGAAATGGAAAATATTTCCCCAATTTATGTGCGACACATAATTCAGGCATATCTTAGTATCCACAGGAATATTAACAGTTTCCTCATTGGAAAAGTGATGTCATTAAATATAAACTAAATTAAGCCACTTAGGTGTTTGTTTCTGTAAGGTGTGTGGGAATACCAGAAAATAAGTCATAAAAATAAAATTATTTCAAATGGCATTCAGGGAACTTAACATTTTTTTGTTTGTTTTAAATGGATATCATTTAAGTATCAAAATTCCAGTTATAATTATGTAAGTTGAATCTTGTCTAAATTTTATGGAGTCTTGTATTACCAATTAGAGGCAAGGGTCAACAAACTGCTCTTTTTGTGAATGAAGTTTTATTAGGAAAGTTCATCACCATTTCTGTATTATCCATTGCTATTTTTGACATTATAATGGCAAAGACAATTAGTTAAAACAGAAACAGGGTGGTCCACAAAGTCTAAAATATTTACTATCTGACCCTTTCACAGGTAAGAGGGCGTTTTTCTTTTTCCTGTGAAGAAATTTGCTGACCCCTGACATAGGCAATAAAATTTTGTCATTAATTGGAGCTTGGCATATTTTATCACGTTCTTAGTTTTACTTGTATTAAAGAGATGGAATGAATTTAAGCTTAGATTATAGTAAGGGGAAGTTTATTTTTAGTTTATAGTCATTTAAACTTAAAAAGTGTTAAGTTTTATGATTTATGTAAATTTAATAGTAGAATATCAGAGCTAAAAATATGTGCTCATTTAATATAGGGATTTCAGCCATTACTCTGCTTCAGAATCACCTGAATAGCTTCTTGGTACCTGGACCCCATTCTCATAGATTTTGTTTCATTTGTTTCATAGTGGGACTCAGGCTTTGGTATTTTAAAAACATCACAAGTCATGTGTAGTCATTAGGGCACCACTGATTTGTCCCACTCACTTTTTACAGATGAGGCAAATAGGGTTTAAGGAGGTTAAGACTTGCAAAAGACATGTAGTCATTTGGTGGGGGGACTGGACTAGAACCAGTCCTTTTGACCTTGCAATTAAATACTTCCCTGTGGATTCTGCATTCTCTAGTCTAGACCAGGAGTTGGCAGATTTTTTTTTTTTCTATAAAAGGTTAAAGAGTAAATATCTTAGACTTTGTGGACCATATGATGCTTTTCTTATTCATTGATTTAAAACCAAAACCAAAACCAGAATGTTCATTTCTTATAATTTATGATAATCTTCACCAAAAGCTGCTTATTTCAGGAGAGGAGTAGTAGTGGGAAACTAATACACATAATAGAAACATTGCCATATTTTGATTAAAAGGCTAYTAATGAAATGACTTTTTAAAAAATACTTTTTAAATTGTTGATGGACCTGTTTTATTAGTTTATTTATATGTGGTGCTGAGAATTGAACCCAGTGCTTCACACATGCTAGGCAAGTGCTCTACCACTGAGCCATAACCTCAGCCTGAAATGCCCTTATGGTTAGTCCGTCTCTTGATCTGCAATTAAGGATTGGTTGTTTACTGACTCAGATTTTTGTGAGGATGAAAAGGCAGCTTTTCTCCCCGCCCCCCTCAGTCTTAAAGTTCAAAGTTTGATGTAGAGGGTAGGAGAAATTGTATGGCAAGATTTTATCACACACTTATTTTAGTTCAGTATTTAGATGCTATCATGGGTAAAATGTTTTGGATATTTGACTTATTAACAACTAAGCTTGTTCTTAATAATTTTAGTCAGGGTCTTCACTCTTAGTAAAATTTATTTTCAGATTATTATCTTTGCATTTCTGATCCCACTAGTCCTATAAATTTGAATTTAAATGAGAATTATGGAAATAGTCAACTTCATACTCTGCTTGAGACTGTTAAGTGGTGGTGTTGGTAACATTGGACCATCTTTGACACTGTTGGTTTGCCAGTTTCCCTCTGACCTTTTCCAGTTTTGTTCATGGAGTATGTCTTAAAGGTTTCTTTCATGAGTAGATTTTGAACCCAGGTTCAAGGTGAGTTCAGAATATACTCAAATTCATTCAATCCTTTTTTTTTTTCCTTAAATGCAGGGTTGTACATATTTTAATAATTTTCTTATGTATCTGGTATTTAATGCTGACAGGATTCCAGTCAATGGAGAGGTTTCATTGCAAGTAGCTGCAGGTGTGTTTCATGRTAGAGATAAAAGTTTTCAGTGAAGCAGATTTTATTTTAAAACAATTACATCCTAAAACATAATTAATATAGATATTGATTTTGTGGGGCAATATGGTATGCATTTTGTGTGTTATGCTGTACTGCTAAGTCAGGCAAAAGCATCAGATACCAAATCTTCTGAAAATAGTACTTAATATTTATTCTTAAATGGTTTAGATACTCTGGAGTGAATAAACTTTAAAGCATTCATTAGTATAATAGGGTGTATTTATAGTATTGTTTCATATAAAAATATGTTCATTATCTGCAATGTATTTTTATTTGGTACTGTGTTCAATAGGTCTCCTCAAAACCTTGTTAATGACTATTTAGCTCTTATGTTTTTAGTCATCCTAGAAAGTATGATTCCTTAATAAATTTGAGCATCTACTTTGTATTAGGAATTATGCTACAGCAGGAATTGCTCTCAAGAATTATATAGTCTCAAAGCAGAGCAGTTGTAATGAAAATACATATATAGTGATTCAGTTTAAGATTAGAGGGTTTAAATTGTCTAGAAAACTGTCTCTTTTAATAACTGGTCTTCAAATATTTTATGATGGAATCTGCATTTCTCATAAATGGATACTCATTGCATAAGTATTGTGAACAAGGTTATTAAGTTTTTAATCATTTTTGGTCCATAACAGTAAGATTAATTCTTTGGAAAACTTGCATCAAAATAAAAATAAGATGTATATGTTATTTTACCTTTTCAGCTAGCTATAGTCAGCAGACTGGACCCCAACAACCTCAGCAGTTCCAGGGATATGGCCAGCAACCAACTTCCCAGGCACCGGCTCCTACCTTTTCTGGTCAGCCTCAGCAGCTGGCTGCTCAACCACCACAGCAGTACCAGGCGAGCAGTTATCCTCCACAACCTTACACTACCCAAACGTCTCAGCCTGCTAATTATACTGTGGCCCCTGCCTCTCAGCCTGGAATGGCTCCAAGCCAACCTGGGGCTTATCAACCAAGACCAAGCTTTACTCCACCTTCTGGAAGTACCATGACCCCTCCTCCAAGTGGGCCTAACCCTTATGCACGTAACCGTCCTCCCTTTGGTCAGGGCTATACCCAACCTGGACCTGGTTATCGATAAGGAGGCCAGCTACACTGATGAATGTAGCTGCTAGCTGTTTGCCTCCTAAAAGACTCCAATACTATTTTATTTTAATTTGTATTGAAGTTAATTCAAAAGGCAGAGCATTTTTTGATATCATTGTTGCTGTTAATTGAAAGTATAATTTGCTAGAACAAAAGACCAAAATGAAAGTTGTTTTTCTTCCTCCCCTGCTTAAAAATGTAGCAGCTTTCTAGTTATTTTGGAACACTACATTTACATGTGTGTAAAGTGATTGGCTTTCTAGCTTCCCTTGTCCAGAGGATATTAAAATGCTAGGTTGAGGTTTAGCCATCTTACTTGGCTTTTTACTATTAACATGATGTACTAAAGTAGAGACAATGACTAGATATTATGGATAAAATGTAACATTGATAGGTTAATAAAGGTGATTGAATCCATTCGTGGTCTTGTATTAATTTTGTTATTAACATACATAAGAAAAATCATGTTTTTAAACAGAAATCCTTACTGGTGTTTTGTCTTAAAATGTTTATACTTCATTCTAATTTACATGGAGAGAAATTGCCCCCCCCCTTTTTTTATTCTTTAAAAGAAATGTATTCAACAACCATTCATTTGAAACAAACTAAAATAGACTTCACAGGAAGATTGATTAACTTAGGACATACAATAACTGTTAYATTGGGGTGGGGATTCAGAGACCCTAGTTTACTTTGATTTTTCCTTATGAAAAGTATGTTTGTSATATCTTCTAATGAACCATTTAGAAATAAACTCAAGTCTTAAAAAAAACTACATCTCTTTATTGAAGAATTTATAGTTGTTTGAAAAATACAGAATTTTAGCATTGATAAGAATGAAGCACATTGAAAAGTAAGCACACAAAATGAGGGTAATGATGCAGCATTCCTATTCCCAGCATGAAGGAAAGTAATATCTTTTAATGAAAATGAAGTTAGATTTTTATTACAGCTTGAGTTAAACAGTATTACAAAAGCACCCCTGTGATTCATTCATAGAAATCTAGCATAAATATATAGCAGATAGTCTGTAAAATTGTAGAGATCTCGTCATGCATTATCTTTTCATGCTCAGACTTCACATATAGTCTCAGCATACAGCTCAAATAAAATAATAAACTGTTGCTTAAAAGGGATAATTTTGATAGTATATTCAGACACATTTCTTTTGAAAGTATATCATTAGATTATCAACCCCATTTTTAGCTGAAATGAAACTTACTGATTCAAATGAATTTTTTCAGTAATTTGTAGAAAATTTATGAAAATTATATTAACAGAAAGTATCTATTCAGGAAATCTTTTCAGCTCATAGTAAAAAATGGAAGTTTAAATAAACGTGAATAGTAGGACCTTTTCCCCTCAGATATAATTTTTCCCCCTGAAGATAATTTGATCTAATAAGTTAAACTAAGTAGAGTTTCATGGAATTAACTCACCAATAGGAAACAAACACACCAATAAAAGGACATTTTTAAAAAGTATATATAATAAGTTTTTGATGTTAATTTTGTTATAAAAGTATCTCAGAACATTATTACAACACTGATAAATAATATACAAATGATCTCTTAAAATACCATGAATAGGGAGCCAGCTTCCCTAAAAATGTTATTGTTTAATGTCAATATCTTGCTTTCTTAAAATGACTTTGTAAAACCTGATAAATATTCTCAGCAATCCTTTCTAATAATAAACATCTAATATTGCTGTTAGATTGCAGACGTTTATACATAGTAAACAAAATAGCTTTAAATGAATGTGACAAATACCATAGTATTTCCACCAATATTTTTTTCCATAATGAACCAGAAGTACTTTGGAGCATGATTGCAGCATCTACCATTTTCCAGGAATTGTAGTCCCACATTCATACCACTGGACATAAGTGATTTGGGTGTGGCCACCTATTTCTCCAAATTGGACAGGTTCCTGGCGAACTGCTCTGAAATAGCCTAAGGAGGAAAATAGTTTTGTTTAATAGTTGCTGTGTTTTATTTTTGCCCTCATTGCTCATAGATTCAAGGATAGTGCTGAATGACTGAAAGTTACTCTGAAGCAAAGTAATTTGGAAAACTTAAGAGCAACAGAGGCCCTGGTATCTTTCCTTGGGTATGGCTCCTTAATCATAGGACCTGAAAAATTTTTGACATTTGCCTTAGCAAGTTAGGATGGAATGGTTGGTAGTATCTGAGAGCAGTTTTAACTGCCAGTTAATATATTCATAGACCTTGTTGTCATCTTTTAGTATGTGGATATTCTTAAGTACCATTGAATGAACTGTTACTGAAAAGTCTAACCAAATGATTGAAAAGATTTAAAGAACTTCCTGGTGCTTCCTGAGTAATTTGGACAATTAATTTACCCACTTYTGAACTACTTAAACAAGGATTAAATTAATTTTCAGTCTTTTTTCAATCCATTACATGGCTTGGTGCTAGAGTGTCTTTAGCAAGTTACAGAGGTTATTAACTTCTCAACAAAATTGTTGTATTTTATTTATGTATTTATAAGGCAAATAATACTGTTTTTTTATATATAGTAGCAATACAATTTACTTCAAAAATTTTTAAAAGGAATAAAAAAATAATGCAGTTATGCATAATAAACAAAAGCCATAAAGTTAATCATGAATGATTTAAGTTTGGAGAACACTGATCTCTTATAGCTGTTTTTGCAAATATAGATTTTCTTGGAGTACATTTGTACATGTCTGTGTAACTTTCCTTGGCTTTAAGTAGAGAAACTTAAGTTTATTGCTTTTTCTAGCCAAGTAATTAGAGCAGTAGTTCTGCAGAATTCTTTTTAACTTGATCACTTTCTTCAGCTTGATTTCTTTCTGAGTTAATCTGGAAAGCTCTCTTGCTCATGAGAAGGATCAGAAAGCATACCTTCCTTTGTGGGTAACTGGTCAGAAGTGAGTTGCTGTCCTGTGCGTCCATCTAAAAACGAATCTACAAACTGGCAGTGATCTTCTCCATGGCCTCTTTGATCGCCAATGTTATAAAATTTTCCTGAAGAACCAGAAATTAAAAGAATGAAATATTGCTTTGATATGTGACAATTCTGAAATAAATTGTTTGAAAGAATCATCTTCCTGTTCTTGGATATTTCCCCCTACTCCTGTATCAACCTAGTTCAAGCTACCAAAGTCTCTTGATTCAACAGGTGTTCCTATTTCATTCTTGTCTCCTMTCTGTTCTTCCTTCCCTCCCTTCAGAGACTGATTTTTAAAAATGCAAGTGAGATGTTACTACCCTCCTTAAACCTCTCCAGTGGTCTCCCACTATACTGAGAATAAAACTTAAAACTCCTTACCTGATTTCAAAGCTCCATGTATTCAGCCCTGCTTGTTTGATGTTCCCCTGTCTGTACTACAATAGTGGAACTGACCAGGTGTATTCTGCCTCAGTCTTTGCACTTTTTCTTTCCCCTGTCTATACATCCGTTGTCCCCCTGACCTTTGTGTGGTTGCTTCCTTCTCATAATATTATTATTAGCAGAAGTGATACCTTTTCAGAGAGCTTCCCTAAAACCATTCTAACTAAAGGCACTTCCAATCCTTGTTGAGCTGTTCTCTCACTCTTTTAAAAATTATCTTCAAAGCACCTGTATAAAATTCATATTTATTTATTTTTTGTGTGCTTCTACTGAGAGAAGGAAGAGAGAGAGAGAGATGTTACGTGAAAGCAGGAATATGTCTTGTTTGCCTCTTTGCCATCAGCACCTAGAAGAGTGCCTGGCATGAAGTATATAGCATTTGCTAAGTGAATGAAAAGATGCATGTTTCTATGTTGGTCATCCTTGCATATTTGTTAAAAATGTTTATGAATATAGAAAATTACAACTACATGAGGTTAGAGCCCTTTTGGTATTATAAAGATGAAATACTCTTTCCATGATTATTGTTAGACACATTTTTATTACTAATATGTTTTTTATCCTAGAATGTTTGTAACAAAGGTAGATGAATATGCTAGTGCCTGTACATTCAAGTTTGCCTTGATAGCATTGTTTCAAAATTGCATTTTCATTATTTACTTCTTAAAAGCATCTTTTAAGTCCTTGTTTTCTAGCAGTGTGACAATTTCAATAACATTTTTTTCTCAGGAAAACTAAAGATGCTGAATTACCCCCTGGTTCCTGGACTTCTCCATGAAAAAACCATGTTATAAAACACTGCAAAACATTCCCTGAAGGCAAAGGCTAAAAATAATGCTGGTTGCCCTGCTTACCTGTGAGTGAGTCGCTCAAATAAATCTTGTATCTTAGAGAGTTGCACAGTTGCACTCCAACAAATTTTTTATACCACGTTCTTTTGACATACTGTTTGCCCTTACATTCTGAGTAAGAGTCTGAATTAAAGGGTCTTTCAGTCCAGATGGCATCTCTTCCTGCTGCATAAGCAAAACACAGTTTGAATTTAGTATCTTGATTCTTGGGTTCTGAGGGGATGTCCTAAAAGCTTTCCAAAAGCAGTCTGCAAAGTTCCTTGCCAACTTGTTGGTACCTGTTTTTTTCCAGTACAATTATTGGATCCCAAAATACAAAGGTTTTAAAAAGTAAATCCAAAATAAGTTCCTTCCTGTCAATAGTAACAGTGAGAGAAATCTCAGAACAGTGTGTTTTGCTGTTGAGTAACCTCTGCAGTGCTCGATGCTGGCTATCGTTGAGGAACAAATTTAGGTTTCCTTTTTGCAGAATATAAAATTTAAACAACTGCTTTAATGTGATATGTTATTAAAAGTCGAAATGAGACGGTTTATCTTTTTTTAGTTTTACTGGGGGGATGGTGGTTCTAGGGATTGAACCCAGGYGCACTTTACCACTGAGCCACATCCCCAGTCCTTTTTTGTTTTATGAGACAGGTCTCTCCAAGTTCCTAAGGCTTGCCTCAAATTTGAGATCTTCCTGCCTCAGTCTCCCAAATTGTTGGATTTACAGGTATCTACCACCATACCTGGCGAGGGTAGCATATTTTGACTTTGTTATTGAACAGAAAATTTCAGCTTACATGATAATATGTGTGAAACCAAGTTTTGAAATATCTTGACTTGCCCCTAGAACATCATAGTCTCTCAAATGTTAATCAGTGTATTAGGTAAACATTCACACCTGATCTTCTAAGAGTCTAAGTAGTAAAATAGTGAAATCATCAATTTTGCTGACCCTGTTTAGTTCGGTCAGTTTAGAAAAAGCATGTAGTTGTTCACTGAGACACTTACCAGAAACCGGCTCACTCACTCTTGGGTCCGCTGAGAAGAAATGACAAACAAAAGGTCAGCTATTATTAATGTTAAGTCCTAACATTCCAGTGGAATGTTGAAGACAGATGCTTACTGTTATGTCTTATTGCAAAATGGTACCCTCTTGCTGAAGACTTAATTTGCAAATTTGTTTTGAAAATAGTTCTTGATCGAATCATCTGCCAGATCTTCAGCTGTAGTTTTTATGTGTGATTTGATAGTTGGGAGACTGTTGCTATGCCAGCCTTCAATTTTGAAAGCTTCCTTTTAGTTTCACACAAAAGCAATTCATGGTAAAGTCACCAAGATGCCATGAACATTAGTTGCTATAAAGTTTATACAAATGTATGTGCCAATGTTTCTTGGTAAGGAACTGGAGCTTCTACTGTCTAGGAGATTTCACAAAACAATCATAAATTCCCTTTCTTTTTTTAAAATTATTTTTAAAATACACAACAGCAAATGCATTACAATTCTTATTATACATATAAAGCACGATTTTTCATATTTTTGTATATAAAATATGTTCACACCAATTCATGTCTTCATACATGTACTTTGGGTTTTTTTGCATTAAAATATACCACAATTTTTCATATCTCTGTTTGTATATGAATTCCTTTCTTGATGTACTAATATTTTGATTCTAGGCATACAAAGGAGCATTTGTTCAGATTTTTGAATATAGATTATGCCTTTTTTTCTCATATCAAGGTAAAAGAGGAAAAACCAAAGTAATTGCTATAAGGGTACCTTCATCAATTAGTTTTTTTTCCTCTATGGATTATTATTTAGGAATTCAAGCTTAGCTGGGTTTCACATGAGCTTCCCATGCAAAACATTGTTCCCACCATGCCCTTTACATCTTTGTTGATGGGATTACCTGACTCAGTACTAAATGCCACTGTGTTGCTGGCTGGGCCTTCACCAAGTGGGTTTTTGGGTTTCACCTGGAATTCATAGCTGTGTAGAGAGAAAAGTAAAATATTATTGAGGGGTAGGAAAGCAGCATTCTCTTGCTGTACTGACATCCTTCCTGGCTCTATTTGAAATTATGATTACAGTGAATGGTAATATTCTGGAAGTAAGTTGTGGGAATAATAATGCTTTCTTAATTTTACTTTCAAAGCATCTAAGGTTTTGTATAAGAAAAATATTGTTAATAAAAAGATGGTTGTCTTTTTAAAATTAGAAATATTTGGACAGGTTGGGAATAGATATATAGGAAAGTGTGTGCTGAACCAAAGTTAATTTCAGCACTGAGAAGCCTTCATTTCTTTAAAATGTGTCAGCTACTGCCTGGGACAAAGAAATGGAAAAGTCCCTTTTTATTCCCTATTACCAACACTGGTATAACCTTGAATTTTAAATCAGTGTTCCTAAAGTGGTATTTGAACTACTTATATCAGAACCACAAGAGAGAGTGGCAGTGGGGGAAGTTTGTTTAAAATGCAGATTTCCTGTCCAGGACGGCTACTGAGTCTCTAAATCATTCCAGGAGGAATTTGCAATACATTTTTAGTCCTATACCCACTGGTATTTGAGAATGCCTAGACTAAGCTGTTGGGCACAGATACCCATGAAAAAGTTTCTTTTCAAGCCTGGTTGTAGCTCCTGGGACTTGGGTCTCCATGTATCACAGGAAGTCATAGKGTCCAGAGAATGGCTGGTAGTATTGCTCAAATGGAGCACAAGCACAGATAGACTTTTCTGCCCCTCAGTAAGCCAGCTTCAAATTGCTAGGCTCCTCACCCTTTGTTTAAATTAAAAAAAACCCCAAAAACCCAAGATCCTTTAGAATTATAGGACTTTTCTATCCTTAAGAATTATTAAATTGTGCAGTATTTGACAGATTTTATTCATTAAATGCACAAGCAGAGAATACTTGTAAGAAATTTAAACAGTATCGGGCTGGGGTTGTGGCTCAGTGGCAGAGTGCTTGCCCCTCACCTGTGAGGCACTGGGTTTGATCCTCAGCACCATATAAAAATAAACTAAATAAATATATTGTATCCATCTATAACTAAAAAAATATTTTTAAAAAGAAATTTAAACAGTAAAGTGATTTGCCATTTGCCTAAAAATGATTTCCTTTCAGCATCAGACTTAGCAGCAAAATAACTGAATTTAAAACCACCTGGAGTTGGCTGATAGTACTGTATGAGTTCCAGAATTGTACATGATTTTTGGTATAGATGGTACCAAGGTAGCATTAGAAAAAAAAAAACTTTTTGAGTCTCAAGGAGTCACTTTCTTGATCACTGTGGCATTTCATTAAAACACTGTTAGACTCTAGTATAAGATTCTATCATTACAACAATGGCAAACACTTTTCAAATGCTTACTTTGTGTCAAATAAATTAGTCATTCTGCATATATAAAGTAATCCAACACACAAATCCTGTGTGACATTATTCTAAACTTTAGCTGAGAATAATGGGGCCCATAACTATTATATAATTATTGTCTYTGCTTTTTCAAACTTCAAAACTCTGTGAAATGGGAATTAAAACATTTCTTTTCAGATATTTAATGAGTGAATGCAAATGAAAGCATTTTATAAATGGAACAACTGATGTAAGGTCATTGACATTTACCATAAGAAATGCTGACATGAAAGCACATATGCCATTTCAATAAATAAATCACATATACATCAGGTGTTTTCACATGGACTTTTTTTCTAGAGATTAAATTCTTCCTAAAAGGCCTAATGCTCTCAAAACAAACTGACAAAAACAAAGTTCATAAAACTAGTGAATTGAAAATGGAAGGAAAAAAATTCACCGGCATCTGGAGTTTGATTCAAGTGGAAATGCATTTCACATTCATTCCAGGCCATTGCCATCAGTGCTGTGTCTTGGCCAAATTGGATTGCTGAAATCATCTCTGTGTCTTTTTATTTCACAGTTATTTACATTTAAGCTTCATTTGTAGCATGCCCACAAATATTCATAAGCTACTTTTTCTGGTTTTTTTTTTTTTGCCAACATTTTATGATACTTGACAAGTTATGAAGAAATGATTTTAAACTAAGTTTAATTAACAACACAAGGGTATTTTTTTGGCTGAATAAACCCTATATAAACAAAAAAAAGTTTGTGATGGCAAAATCTTTCCCCTCAAATACTTTTTGATCATGAAATGAACACCATAGGTCTGTAACATCTCAAAGAAAATATTGATTGTACTTAGGATAAGCAGAGGATGCTACTTAAAAGTTTTTTAGCCAATGAAGTTCTTTGAAATTTAAAAATAAACTTCAAATGGCAATTTTAGAAGCTAAAGTTGAAAACATTCTACAAATATTTGAACGAAAAGTCAAAGATACAAAATAAGAGAATATAAGAAAATTGGAGGATTATTCCAGATAGTTTAGTACTCAGCTGGCAGGAATTCTAGAAAACAGGGAGGAAAGGATGGTAGAAATTATTGCAGAAAAATCATATAAGAAATTTCCCAGAACTAAAAGATGTGAGTGTCCATATTGAAAAGGTCAATTCTGTGCCCACCAAAAGTAAAAAAGAAAAGAAAAAGGATTAATTAAAGCATGTGAGTTGCAAAATTTCAGAGTACTGGGGAATAAAGATCCGAACAACTGAGAACAATACAGTGGGTTCCATATAAGTATTCAGAATCAAAATGATGGTCAACATCTTAATAGCAAAAACACTGGAAGTTAGGGGGAAAAAATGGAACAATGCCTTCAAAGTCTTCATTTTATCATGATTTTATCCTACACCAATAATATCAAAGTAAACCATGGACTTTCTAAAGCATGTAAATAACTAAAAAAATATATCATTTTATATATACTTTCCCAAGATATGTTTCTATAGAAGCCATGAAGAGAGGGAGTAAACAAAGAAGGGAGACGTGGCTGCAGGTATTAGGGGATTCAACATAGCCAAAAATGATGGCAAGGGATTCAGCAAGAGGTAGGTGTTCCCTAAGACAAATCCAGAGAACAAAGAGATGGCGTGTTTGACCATTATGAGAAATGAGTGGCCTAGAAATAGAGATTTAATTAACAGAAGAAAAATCTAAAGAAATAATTTTTAAAAAATGTTTGCTCCTGGGAAACAGACTTTAAGAGTAGAAAGGAACTGCTTTTTTAATATCTGCAGCATGGTCCAGTGGCTAAATCTATTTTTCATTAAGTAATACAAAATACCTGGGGCGGCCTACTTTAAAGAAAATAGGTATATTTTGGCTCATGGTTCTGGAGGTACAAGATCCAGCAGCCACATCGGTTGATGGCATTCTTGCTGGCAAAGTCGTGAGGTGGTACAGAACATCACATGGTGACAGCCAGGGTATGTGTCTGAATCTCTTTATAAAGCTACGAGGATTCAATCATGGGAGATCCACCGTAATCTTTTTTTTTTTCCATTTTATATATAGAGAGCACAATTTTTCATATCTCTGGTTGTACACAAAGTAGAGTCACATCCTTCATGTCTTCATACATGTACTTGGGGTAATGATGACCATTGCATTCCACTGGCTTTCCTACCCTTATGTCCCCTCCCTTCCCCTCTTCCCTTTTGTCCTATCTAGACTTTATTTAATCCTCCCACACTAGCATCTTATGGATCAGCATCCTTAAATCAGAAATCATTTGGCATTTGGATTTTTGGGATTGGCTAATTTCACTTAACATATTCTTCAGCTCCATCCAAATATTTACCTGCAAATGCCATGATTTCATTCTCTTTTAATGCTGCTATAAACATTGATGTGGCTGTGTCCCTGAAATGTGCTGTTTTAAAGTCCTTTGGGTATAGACCAAGGAGTGGGATAGCTGGGTCAAATGGTGGTGCCATTCCAAGTTTTCCAAGGATTCTCCATACTGCTTTCCATATTGGCTGCATCAACTTGCAGTCTCACCAACAATGTATGAGTGTACCTTTCTCCTCACATCCTCGCCAACACTTATGGTTGTTTATATTCTTAATGGCTGCCATTCTGACTGGAGTGAGATACAATCTTAGAGTAGTTTTGATTTGCATTTCTCTAATTGCTAGAGATATTGAACATTTTTTCATATATTTCTTGGTTGATTGTATATCTTCTTTTGAGAAGTGTCTGTTCAGTTCCTTGGCCCATTTATTGTATCTCAGTGACAAATCCCTCTGAAAGGAAAACGAGGAAAACTACCCCATTTACAATAGCATCAAACACAAACAAACAAACAAACAAAAACACTTGGGAATCAATGAAAGAGGTGAAAGACTTCTACAATGAAAACTACAGAATGCTAAAGAAAGAAATTAAAGAATACCTTTGCAATATGGAAAGGTCTACCTTGTTCTTGAATAGGCAGAATTAATATTGTCAAAATGACTATACTACCAAAAGCACTATACAGATTTAATGCAATTCCAACCAAAATCCCAATGATATTCTTCATAGAAATAGAAAAAGCAGTCATGAAATTCATCTGGAAATAAGAGATCCAGAATAGCTAATGCAATCCTTAACAGGAAGAGTGAAGCAGGTGGTATCACTATATCAGATCTCAAACTATACTACAGAGCAATAGAAACAAAAACAGCATGATACTGGCACCAAAATAGACTGGTAGACCAATGGTACAGAATAGAGGACACAGAGACTAACCCACATAATTACAGTTATCTTATATTTGACAAAGGCGCCAAAAATATACATTGGAGAAAAGATAGCCTCTTCAAAAATAGTGCTGGGAAAACTGGAACTCCATATGCAACAAAAAGAAATTAAACCCCTATCTCTCACCATGCACAGAACTCAACTCAATGTGGATCAAGGACCTAGGAATTAAACCAGAGACACTGCATCTATTAGAAGAAAAAATAGGCTCCAATCCCCATCATGTTGGATTAGGCCCAACTTTCTTAATAAGACTCCTATAGCGCAAGAATTAAAATTAAGAATCAATAAATGGGATGAATTCAAACTAAAAAGTTTATTCTCAGCAA